GAGGGGTTACAGGCGGGTGCAGAGTGGGAGGGGTTACAGGCGGGTGCAGAGTGGGAGGGGTTACAGGCGGGTGCAGAGTGGGAGGGGTTACAGGCGGGTGCAGAGTGGGAGGGGTTACAGGCGGGTGCAGAGTGGGAGGGGTTACAGGCGGGTGCAGAGTGGGAGGGGTTACAGGCGGGTGCAGAGTGGGAGGGGTCACAGGCGGGTGCAGAGTGGGAGGGGTCACAGGCGGGTGCAGAGTGGGAGGGGTCACAGGCGGGTGCAGAGTGGGAGGGGTCACAGGCGGGTGCAGAGTGGGAGGGGTCACAGGCGGGTGCAGAGTGGGAGGGGTCACAGGCGGGTGCAGAGTGGGAGGGGTCACAGGCGGGTGCAGAGTGGGAGGGGTCACAGGCGGGTGCAGAGTGGGAGGGGTCACAGGCGGGTGCAGAGTGGGAGGGGTCACAGGCGGGTGCAGAGTGGGAGGGGTCACAGGCGGGTGCAGAGTGGGAGGGGTTATAGGCGGGTGCAGAGTGGGAAGGGTTATAGGCGGGTGCAGAGTGGGAAGGGTTATAGGCGGGTGCAGAGTGGGAAGGGTTATAGGCGGGTGCAGAGTGGGAAGGGTTATAGGCGGGTGCAGAGTGGGAGGGGTTATATAGGGGGGTGCAGAGTGGGAGGGGTTATAGGGGGGTGCAGAGTGGGAAGGGTTACAGGGGGGTGCAGAGTGGGAGGGGTTACAGGCGGGTGCAGAGTGGGAGGGGTTATAGGCGGGTGCAGAGTGGGAGGGGTTATAGGCGGGTGCAGAGTGGGAGAGGTTATAGGCGGGTGCAGAGTGGGAGGGGTTATAGGCGGGTGCAGAGTGGGAGGGGTTATAGGCGGGTGCAGAGTGGGAGGGGTTATAGGCGGGTGCAGAGTGGGAGGGGTTATAGGCGGGTGCAGAGTGGGAAGGGTTATAGGCGGGTGCAGAGTGGGAAGGGTTATAGGTGGGTGCAGAGTGGGAGGGGTTATAGGCGGGTGCAGAGTGGGAAGGGTTATAGGCGGGTGCAGAGTGGGAAGGGTTATAGGCGGGTGCAGAGTGGGAGGGGTTATAGGGGGGTGCAGAGTGGGAGGGGTTACAGGGGGGTGCAGAGTGGGAGGGGTTACAGGCGGGTGCAGAGTGGGAGGGGTTATAGGCGGGTGCAGAGTGGGAGGGGTTATAGGCGGGTGCAGAGTGGGAGGGGTTATAGGCGGGTGCAGAGTGGGAGGGGTTATAGGCGGGTGCAGAGTGGGAGGAGTTATAGGCGGGTGCAGAGTGGGAGGGGTTATAGGCGGGTGCAGAGTGGGAAGGGTTATAGGCGGGTGCAGAGTGGGAAGGGTTATAGGCGGGTGCAGAGTGGGAAGGGTTATAGGTGGGTGCAGAGTGGGAGGGGTTTATAGGCGGGTGCAGAGTGGGAAGGGTTATAGGTGGGTGCAGAGTGGGAAGGGTTATAGGTGGGTGCAGAGTGGGAGGGGTTATAGGTGGGTGCAGAGTGGGAAGGGTTATAGGTGGGTGCAGAGTGGGAAGGGTTATAGGTGGGTGCACTAGGGGTGGTCGCAGCAGAGTAAAGTCCTTCAGCCTTTAGACCATCCCTGTGTGAACTTTCAAAGCAATGGAGGTCTGTCCATACCACTTCCTACACAAGTACGATGGTTGGCTTCTCCCACCCCTACAGAGCCAGTTTTGGGGGTCAGGCATTCGCAGTATCCGGCTTCTCTCTCCTGACACGGCACGTGTACAACAGACCAAGTGGAGGGAGACTTCAAAGCGGTCTTTAGCAGCTGCTGCAATCTGTTACCGCCCCAGGAAGGGGGGTGATTCCAGGCCATGCATGCGTTCACACAACCCCTGCCCTGATCATCTCACACATTTTCCAAAACTCCTGCCAACTGCTAACCTCTGCTCACCTGAAGGATTATGGGAGGAGAGGGCAAGCTGCTCCTCTGCGGTTGGCTGCCAGATATCGGAGATGTGGTCACTTTTTGTGACTTGAAAAGGAAGGTTGGTGGACTCCTCACTTGGTGTCTCCCCAAATGTGGCTGAAATGAAAAAAATAATAAATGGAGAGTGACAATTAACCCCTTCATGTCCAGACACTTCCCCCCCCCCCCCCTCCTTCCAGTCCAGACGCGTTTCCCCTCCTTCCAGTCCGGACGCTTTCACCCCCCTTCCGGTCCGGACGCTTTCACCCCCCTTCCGGTCCGGGACGCTTTCCCCCCCCTTCCGGTCCGGACACTTTCCCCCCCCTTCCGGTCCGGACACATTCCCCCCCCTTCCGGTCCGGACACATTCCCCCCCCTTCCGGTCCGGACACATTCCCCCCCCCCTTCCGGTCCGGACACATTCCCCCCCTCCAGTCCAGGCCAATTTTCAGCTTTCAGCACTATCACACTTTGATTGACAATTGCGCGGTCATGCAACACTGTACCCATATGAATTTCTTAGCATTTTTTTGAGACAGATAAAGCTTTATTTTGGTGGTATTTATTCACCGCTGGGATTTTTATTTTTTTTTCTATGTAAATGAAAAAGTCCAAAAATTTTGAAAAAAAGTGTTTTTTTCTAATAAAATTTTGCAAATAAATATTTCTTCATAAATCTTCGCCAAAATTTATTCCGTTATCTTTTTAGTAAAAAAAAATAAAAAAAAATATAACCCAAATTAGCTTATAACCAAAGATTATAATTTTTAAACTTTTTTTAATTTATATTTATGTTTTGTTTTTGTTTTTTACATACACTGGTGACACTGTACTACACGTGTGGGGGTGATGATTTTTTTTTTTTTTTTTCATCGATTGCTTTTACACCCATAAAGGCTGTAAAAGCAATAATTTCTCCTTCTCTCTGGCTGCATTCCTGCATCCATTGAGAAATACTGTGTGAGCTGTGATTGGTCATAGCTTGTCACATGGTACAAGGCTGTTGTGAATGGCCCTGTACCATGTGATCTCTGTGATCATTCACAGATTTCACTAGTAGTAAGCAATGTCAGAAGTGACATCTTACTTACTACTTTGCATGTGATCACTGATTGGCCAATCAGTGATCACATGATCGGGACCTTGCAGAGATGTCCCGTCTGACGATCGGTGTACCGGATCGCGGTGCTGCACGCTCCCAGTGAGCGTGCACAAGCAGGGGGAGGGGAGGCCGTTTATAAACACCCACCCGACCCTGCACTGCCACCGTCCAGCCGTTTATATACAACAGCCGGACGGGAGGTGGTTAGGACAAGGCAGCAGAGACAACCAGTTATTGACTGAAAAGATGAGATTCTCGGGATTGCTGCTCCAGATATGTACAGAAAACCACATAATAGACCTAAAAATGTGCCGTCAAATCTCACCAAAGTCATCTGCTAAATATTTTATTTTTATTTCAGGTACTTCTATAGCGTCATCATTTCACGCAGCAATTGTACATCACATCAGTCCCTGCCTTCAAGGAGCATACAATCTAAAAGGTCCTCAACTCACATTCACACAAAACTAGGGCCAATTTAGACAGGATCCAGTTACCTACCAGAAGGTTTTTGGAGTGTGGGAGGAAACCGGAGTACCCGGAGGAAACCCACGCAGGCACAGGGAGAACATGCAAACTTCAGGCAGGTGGTGCCATGATGGGGGATTCGAACCGATGACCCCAACCACCAGGCGAATGTGCTATCCACTTCTGTTGAGCAGGAATGGCCATAGATGGATGGACCGTAGTGCTGCTATGTGGAAGTGCTAACCACTTGGCCACTGTGCTGCCCACCATTTGATAATAAATATCAAATTTATTAGATTTATGCATAAAAAGGGTACGCCGGGGTTTACACTATGTGGTGTGGCAGGAATCGCACTGCATTCCTGTGCGCATCACATGCAAATATCTGTGTGTTGCGTTTTGAGCAATACACTTTCTATAGCTCAAATCGCATCTCATCTGCATCAAAAAGGTGCAGGACCCTTTTTTAAAACCCGCACCCGAATCTCATCTCATGTGTGTTCTCATCCGTGTGATTCTGACAATTGCACTGCATTTTGCGATCTGTTTCGGGGTGTCATTAACCACTTCTGGTCTGGCCGTTGTATATAAAAATGGCCAGACGGTGGCAGTCCAGGGGCGGGTTGCCGTTCATAAACGGTGCCCGCCATTTTGGACTGTGTGCTCTCCCTGGGAGCGTGCAGCACCACGATCCTGTGCCCACTGTGTCCACCAGACACAGCGGAACGCCGATCCCTGTATGGCACCTTTGTGCGAGGTCCCGATCATGTGATCACTGATTGGCCAATCAGTGATCACATGCAGAGTAGTAAGCAAGATGTCACTTCTGACATCATTGCTTACTACATGTGAAATCTGTGAATGATCACAGAGGTCACATGGTACAAGGCTGTTGTGAATAGCCCTGTACCATGTGACAAGCTGTGACCAATCACAGTGCTCTCAGTATTTCTCAATGGCTTCAAGAATGCAGACAGAGAGAAGGAGAAATGATTGCTTTTACAGGCTTTATTAGTGTAAAGCAATCAGTGTATAAAAAAAAAAAAAGAAAAAAAATTAATCACCCCCCCCCCCCCCCCACTATGGTGACACTGCACTGCTAAGGTGACAGTAAGATAAAAAAAAAAAAAAAAAAACACGAATTTAAAACCATAAAATGAAAATGTAAAAAAATGTTTAAAAAATAATTTTTGATTATAAACTAATTTGGTGCATTTTTTTTTTACTTAAGAGAAAACGGAATATATTTTGGCCAAGATATATGAAGAAAAATTATTTCTTCGCAAAATTTCAGAAGAAAAAAACTTTTAAAAAAACATTTTTGGACTTTCATTTATATAGCAAAAAAAAATAAAAAATACTACCGAAATAAAGCTTTATCTGTCTCAAAAAATATTAAAAAATTCATATGGGTACAAGTGTTGCATGACCGCGCAATTGTCATTTAAAGTATGACTGCACTGAAAGCTGAAAATTGGCCTGGACCAGAAGGGGGGGGGGGTGAAAGTGCCCGGACCGGAAGGGGGGGGGGGGGGGTGAAAGTGCCCGGACCGGAAGGGGGGGTGAAAGTGCCCGGACCGGAAGGGGGGGTGAAAGTGCCCGGACCGGAAGGGGGGGTGAAAGTGTCCAGAAGTGGTTAAATCCGCACCCGAATCCCATCTCATGGGTGTTCTCATAGCGTTTTGCAATCTGTTTCAGAGTGTCATTAATGTATCATTGACACCCAGCACCAGACCGCATGAACGCGATGCAGGAAACGCACAGTATTCGCAGCATTTCCCGCATTGGTGTGAATCGGATCTACAATACCTGTTGTCTTCTCTGATGTGTCTCCACTGTGTGTGTCGGTATCACAGGTTTTAGAGTACGAATCGGTCAGCCATCCTTCCTCAAAGGCTCCTTGGGCAGCTTCTGCATGAGAAAAGCAGAGTATGATGATGGTGGTGATCTTCTTACTCCGGCAGCCAGATAACCCAACTCATCACAGAAAAGCAATTCTCCATTGTTGCGCACAAAGCGCTTTGTATCTAGTTAGTGCTGCGGAACATAAGCCGTGAAAAAAAAAAAAAAAAAAAAACACAGACACAGAAGTCAATATAAATCAGGGATCTCTATTTTAAGGGATACAGCTGTCCTCTGGAAAGAAAAAAAAAAAAATCTTTCAATCTTCCACCAATCTTGAAAAAGCCTCTTATGACGGTTAAAACTCCAGAGGTCTGCTGTGCCCAACACTGGGAGAAAACAAGTTAGCTGCACAACATGCACAGGCCAGAATATATTCAAGTTTTGCATGCAATTGTACTTTAACAGAGCAGTGGTCAGGTTATAAACAAATATTTATAAGTAGTAAACAGGCCCTTACTGACCTCTATAGCTTCAGGCACTGTGGAGTAATTCAACAAAATGTACAGCAGAAACCCTTAAAGTGTTACTAAACCCCGAACCCCGCATTCACCATATCTGGTTTCTCACAGTACACAGAAAATGGAAGTGCGGGGTCCGGGGAGAGCGGATATAGCGAATGCGCGGTCTGGGGAGAGCGGATATAGCGAATGCGGGGTCCGGGGAGAGCGGATATAGCGAATGCGGGGTCCGGGGACAGCGGATATAGCGAATGCGGGGTCCGGGGACAGCGGATATAGCGAATGCGGGGTCCGGGGACAGCGGATATAGCGAATGCGGGGTCCGGGGACAGCGGATATAGCGAATGCGGGGTCCAGGGACAGCGGATATAGCGAATGCGGGGTCCGGGGAGAGCGGATATAGCGAATGCGGGGTCCGGGGAGAGCGGATATAGCGAATGCGGGGTCCGGGGAGAGCGGATATAGCGAATGCGGGGTCCGGGGAGAGCGGAGCGGATATGGTGAATGCGGGGTCCGGGGAGAGCGGATATGGTGAATGCGGGGTCCGGGGAGAGCGGATATAGAGAATGCGGGGTCCGGGGAGAGCGGATATAGTGAATGCTGGGTCCGGGGAGAGCGGATATAGTGAATGCGGGGTCCGGGGGAGAGCGGATATAGTGAATGCGGGGTCCGGGGAGAGGGGATATAGTGAATGCGGGGTCCGGGAGAGAGCGGATATAGTGAATGCGGGGTCCGGGGAGAGCGGATATAGTGAATGCGGGGTCCGGGGAGAGCGGATATAGTGAATGCGGGGTCCGGGGAGAGCGGATATAGTGAATGCGGGGTCCGGGGAGAGCGGATATAGTGAATGCGGGGTCCGGGGAGAGCGGATATAGTGAATGCGGGGTCCGGGGAGAGAGCGGATATAGTGAATGCGGGGTCCGGGGAGAGCGGATATAGTGAATGCGGGGTCCGGGGAGAGAGCGGATATAGTGAATGCAGGGTCCGGGGAGAGCGGATATAGTGAATGCGGGGTCCGGGGGAGAGCGGATATAGGGAATGCGGGGTCCGGGGAGAGCGGATATATAGGGAATGCGGGGTCCGGGGTTTAGTAACACCAAGTTTTCATTTATGTTAAGGCAGCCATCAAATGCTGAATTTCAGCAACAATAACAAGCAATTTAGTAAAAGCATGAATGTTATACATATACAGCAACTTATAATCCTGGATAGAACAGCCCGCAGGAAGAGGGGCAGCAATCACGGGTCAGAACAGGCAGCAGCAGTGCAAGGCAAATAAAAAAATCTAAGCCGTTTCAATACAGGTGACTTGCTGAATAGAAAGAAAAAAAAAAAAAGAAAAAAAGAGAAAGGCACCTGATTGGATCAAAGGAGCTCTCTGTAAAGGAGAGAAAAATCCAGAGGAGTCGGTGAAGTCCAACAAACAAGCTTCAGACATGGAGTCTGCACACAGGAGGAACAAAAAGGGCAAGTTACACCGGAGAGGAAGGTTCAGCTGCAGAATCCAACATTCATGTCTTTCCTATATATGGGGTTTGGAACGGGGCAGGAAAACGGGCATCCTAAAAAACGCAGCCTGGGTACGGGACAGATCCATGGAGAACGTTCTGCTCTACGGGACCTGAACATGGTCTGCAGGACCGGACTTCCCCTAGTAGACCCATTCCAGAAAAGTCCCCGAAGAGCTTTCTACACCAAACCCTTCCACACACTACCTAACCCTCGGATCACACCTACGACCTACGCGTTTTCTGCAGAATTTTGCAAATTTTTTGGAAAGGGTCAGCGACATTTTTTGAATGCAAAAAAGTTGCGTTTTTGGTTCTATAGATGGAAACGCTGCTGAAAAGCACGTAGTGCGTTGAGCCAAATGTTTACCATCCCACCTGTACAGGTTAACTATTTGTTCTGTTCTAGTAGAGAGCAACTTAACTGATCCATCAAACATTCCCACATAAGACCAGTCCACTTTGGCTCCTCCTCCCACAGTCCATCGGCATTGAAAATGGACTGTTCCTGACATCAACACGCTCAGTAGACAGGAACAGTCCACCGCTGGACCATGGGGGGGGGGGGGGGGGGGAGATTTTTTCCGAGGATCGGCAGATCAGGCTAGTATGAACTTCGAGCAGCTGACCCACGCACTAGGGGCACAGCCCCACTGTATGGTGATGAAAAAAAATTGTCCCGGAGTTGGGCTTTAATGCAGGAGCTGAGAGATCACTTTTCAAAAGTGTGTCAGTCCGTGCCACATGTGTAACTGTAGCCTTAAGAACTCGGCGTAGGATGGAGCTTTTAAAGCTATGAGGGCGATCGCAAAAGAAGGAAGTTCACATGCTGCGATTAGTCAGTGGGTGGAGCTTATATGCATGAAATTAAACCGAATGACATGAGATGGCATCTACATGCATTCATACAAACATACACCAGGGTGTGGAGCTCAGCAGGTGGACTCGGTATTAAAAGGTGAAGCCTTTAAGCAAGGGGGCAGAGCCAAGCAGGGGGGTGGAGGCAACCCAGGGGGGCAGAGCCAAGCAGGGGGGTGGAGGCAACCCAGGGGGGCAGAGCCAAGCAGGGGGGTGGAGGCAACCCAGGGGGGCAGAGCCAAGCAGGGGGGTGGAGGCAACCCAGGGGGGCAGAGCCAAGCAGGGGGGTGGAGGCAACCCAGGGGGGCAGAGCCAAGCAGGCAACCCAGGCGGCAGAGCCAAGCAGGGAACCCAGGCGGCAGAGCCAAGCAGGGAACCCAGGCGGCAGAGCCAAGCAGGGGGGTGGAGACAACCCAGGCGGCAGAGCCAAGCAGGGGGGTGGAGACAACCCAGGCGGCAGAGCCAAGCAGGGGGGGTGGAGACAACCCAGGCGGCAGAGCCAAGCAGGGGGGTGGAGACAACCCAGGCGGCAGAGCCAAGCAGGGGGGTGGAGACAACCCAGGCGGCAGAGCCAAGCAGGGGGGTGGAGACAACCCAGGCGGCAGAGCCAAGCAGGGGGGTGGAGACAACCCAGGCGGCAGAGCCAAGCAGGGACAGAGTTAATATTTAGCCTTTGGAATCTGCCGGCCCATGCTGTATTTTGCTCCACCCACTGCTTAAGCAGTAAGTGAAGAGGATCCGTGAAGGAGCTAATGCAGAAGAGAAAGATACCTTCATAACTTTGGAGGCAGGTCAGGGATGATGCAATTTTACAGCCAGTAGTCCCCCCCCCCCCCCCCCCCGTATTATGGGACAGTCCTAACCATCAGATCTAGATTTCCTCCTTTGGAGAGGGCACTCCAGGCTCACACTTACTGTGATTTATCACACACTTGATACATGTACTCGGCCAGGTCTGTCACTTCTCTGCCTTTCATTTCTCCCCATCCCTAGGTATCTAAGCCCCCCCCCCCCCCCATCCATTCCCAGGACAGACACATTGAAGACACTTGTGGGCGTCTAGTATTCAGCCGCCTTAGATAAAGGACCCCATTAGAGAAGGGCTGGGTAAGCCCGATCCCTCTGGACAGAACATGTCCCCCTTCTATGTGGCTGCACACGGCTGTGATTTATTGGCAGCATGTGGTGTGCTCTGTGGGACACGGATGATGAATGATGTGTCAGGATGGCTTTGCAGCTGAGCTGGGTTTATATTTAGTATCAGGGTGACAATTGTGTACCAGGAAGATGTTCTGTGTCTCTGAGGGAAGGAAAGATCTGTGCAGTGTCCGGAGGGAGCAGAAGATCCGCCAAGACATCTTCATCGAGCTTCGACCCAAACGGATCTGAAATACAGGAGAAGGTTACCAGTCCGGATGGGGCCCGTGCGGTTGTACGGCTGGACATGGTCATTGAGGGGACACAAGCTGTGCGGCCCCAGTCTAGACAAGGCAGATGTGTACACGGTGGTCGTTTCCTTGGTCGGGGACAGCACACCAAACTCAATCACATCTGGACGATTTCTGGACATCACATGGTTGGACGATTTCTCCAAACCCACATCTCACCGGCTATGTAACCAAACCCAATCCGGAGTATTTATTAAAAGGATATGTTCACATTTCGTAAGATTTTACGATCTGACTGGCCCCCCTTGCTAGCTGTCAAATTAAAAAAAGAAACCCCCGCCCCCGTCACTCATTTACAGCAGTCCTAGCAGCTGTCAGCTTGTAGTCCTCAATGAACTACCACGGCGCGGTGGTAGTTCATTATTTATTTCAGGTACTTCTATAGCTGTCAAATTTACACAGCACTTTACATATATATTGTACATTCACATCAGTCCCTGACCCTCAAGGGGCGTCCAATCTAAGGTTCCTAACCCTCAAGGGGTGTACAATCTAAGGTTCCTAACCCTCAAGGGGTGTACAATCTAAGGTCCCTAACCCTCAAGAGATGTACAATCTAAGGTTCCTAACCCTCAAGGGGCGTACAATCTAAGGTTCCTAACCCTCAAGAGATGTACAATCTAAGGTCCCTAACACTCAAGGGGCGTACAAGAAAAAAAAAAACCAACAAAACCACAAAAAAAAAAAAAAAATAAAAACAGCTTTTTTGGACATTTTAACACAAAAGAATAAGCAAACCAATCAGACGCAGAGGACGCTGCACCAACATAGCTGCAATGGCAGGTTGTGGTTGCACGGAGTTGACCTTCATAGGAGATGAACCTCAGAGATTGCACTTTGCAGCGATGCGGTCACTTTGTCCCATATGGTCAAGTGTAAACGGGAACCATGATCCCCATACCGAATACTCCCCTAATCTGCACGCACTTCACAGCTCCTCTGCAGGGGGCACTGAAACACGCCGTGTTGGAGACCCATGGGAACGGCACGACCCTCACCCAATCTGTTGGTGGTGCCCTGACTGGGGCACCATCACAAGGAAGCTGGTCACATGCTCCCCTTATACCCAGAAATGTCCAGTATTCTCTCTGGCTGTGGAGGAGGAAATAGCTGTAAGCACAGGAAAGCCAAGTATATGGGGGTTGGAGGATGCCGATCAGTGGGAGATGCCGATCAGTGGGAGATGCCGAACAGTGGGAGATGCCGAACAGTGGGAGATGCCGATCAGTGGGAGATGCCGATCAGTGGGAGATGCCGATCAGTGGGAGATGCCGATCAGTGGGAGATGCCGAACAGTGGGAGATGCCGAACAGTGGGAGATGCCGATCAGTGGGAGATGCCGATCAGTGGGAGATGCCGATCAGTGGGAGATGCCGATCAGTGGGAGATGCCGATCAGTGGGAGATGCCGAACAGTGGGAGATGCCGAACAGTGGGAGATGCCGAACAGTGGGAGATGCCGAACAGTGGGAGATGCCGAACAGTGGGAGATGCCGAACAGTGGGAGATGCCGAACAGTGGGAGATGCCGAACAGTGGGAGATGCCGAACAGTGGGAGATGCCGAACAGTGGGAGATGCCGAACAGTGGGAGATGCCGATCAGTGGGAGATGCCGATCAGTGGGAGATGCCGATCAGTGGGAGATGCCGATCAGTGGGAGATGCCGATCAGTGGGAGATGCCGATCAGTGGGAGATGCGATCAGTGGGAGATGCCGATCAGTGGGAGATGCCGATCAGTGGGAGATGCCGATCAGTGGGAGATGCCGATCAGTGGGAGATGCCGAACAGTGGGAGATGCCGAACAGTGGAGAATGAAGAGACATAGTTAGGAATTTATTGCAGCCAGTGACACCTTTAAAGAGATTTAAAGGTAATTTTCTGCAGTATATAAAAATATAGCATATGGATATACTATATCGTATGAATAATAGTCCTGTTGGATAAATGAAATGATATGGGAGTGTCTCTTCAAATGGTAAGATTCCAGTGAATAATATATATAAAATCTGGAAGTGGATGATCAACCAGGAAATAAAAAGCCCGGAAATACAAAACATCCGGTGATGTGCGAAAGATTAGTGGGATTGCGAAAGATAAGTGGTTAAGGAATTTTTATTTTATTTATTTATTTTTTTTTTAAACGTGTGCAAACCGCAAGAACCATCTCTGCCAGCAAAAGGGTTAAGTGTCCAAGTGAATGTAAAGCCCGTGTGACTGCATTTCTATGTAGTAAATCTCCGTGTCTCCACAGATCTATAAAATCACAGATAAATACAGGGCTCACTAGAATCCAAAGCTGTAGTTATGGCATGCGGCTTCCACCCACCAGAGAAGTCCCAGCCCTTCTATTATCTACACCAGTCCAACACTGTCCTTCCTGCTGCCATTTATACCAATCCAAGC